AGACCTTGAATGGAACTTTCCAAAACTGCAGGAATGAGAGCCCTGGGATCTCAGCCCTGCTTCCAGTGTTGGCCAAGCAAAAGGGAGTTGTTTTTGTTTATTCTCCTCTTGACTCTGGGAATCTTTCATCTCTCCTTGCACAGTCACCAGGCTTCAGTGGGAGGAATGAGGAACAGGAGGTGGTGGTTTGAACCCAAACAGGCTGAAGAAAGCAGTTCCCAAGCGCACGCTGTAACCCCTTGTGTGCTTATATGCAAAACTGAAGAATCATTTCTTCCTCCTGATATGTTTTTGAAGAGAATTACAGCTGAATTCAGTGGAGTCTGAAAGTGCATGAGATGTGTTTGTGTGACCAGCCCTTTCAGAACTGCAGTGCCTTTACATGCCTGTCTCTGAATCTAACAGCGAAGCTTAAGCAAGTCACACATGTGGATGCCAATGCTGAAGTGGCTGCTTAGGTTTAGACCTAGCATAGGAACTTTCGGTGCAGAAGAGAAGTAGTGAGTGATTTTAGGACTACATCATGCTGGAAGACTGGTGTTCAAAATTACTCTAAGATCCAGGAGTGACTTATCTTGCCTACAACCAATTGCCTCAAATCACTCAACTGAAATCCATCTTAATTCATCCTTCCCAGGTTTTATGAACAGTCTTTTTTCAGTCCTAAAACTTAATCAATGAACAGCCAGCCATAGCTTTACATGTACTTCTTTTCTCTCTAATAATTTTTTCTTCCCTTTTGAATAGATAACCTTATTTTCTTCTTAGAGACTATATAATGGGTGTTTTTTATGTGTTTAGTTCTGTTTTACAGTATTCAGAAGGGTTTGGCATTCAGCAGTAGATAAACAGATGAATTTATTATTGTTTACTTCCAAAACCGATTGAATATAAGTTCCTTATCATTACATTTCAAAAGCTTGTTTGTAGTACTCTTACAGTTTTCAGAAGATAGTCCTGTTTTTCCCTATTTCCTGTAATTCACATTTTTTCTGGCCTGCACTTTTGTTTAACAAAAATGAGATACCTTCTTAAAACTGCAGGATCAAATAGACTAAATCCATAGGGGACACTTATCGTCCAAAAAAAAAGATAAATTACTCCTCTACCATTCAATTTTCTGAGGATAACTACTTCTATACACCCGCACACTCCCTTGAGCCCCTTCATGGAATTGTTTAGGTGCTTTCATTAGTGGATAAATAGAATTAGAGTGCACCATTTATAGGAACTATTTAAGTGGCATAAAAATATGACCATAATAAAGAAAATGTAGTTCCCCTGGAATGGTGTTATCACTTGGTTTCTCTCCACATATATAATAGGAACAACCCTGCATAACTTTAAAATGTGGATAAGGTAACATCCAGAAAGTTACATGTCAGCATTTCCCACATTAGCTGCAATTTGAGGCAATACCTGGATGAGAAAAGCAATGTGTCATCCCAGTTGTACTCTATGCTGCTTTGGGATAAAAACACCATTACCTGCCACCATCAGTCCACAGTTCCCAGTGTGTAAGGCTGACATTAATATAGATTCTTTTGAGATTCTGAAAACTGATTTTTTTGTCATTAAAATGTCTCTGTGTAATTAAAGTGCACTGGCATGTTTGTTGAGTTGGTGACATATTTGTCAGTGATAGACAGCAAGCCTTATCTTGTGAGTGGGCACCTTCCTCAGTGTCACGGGTTTAAGATGTGCTCAGAGTCAAAAAATACTACATTTCAGGATTAATTATTTGCTAAAAATAGCCTTCCAACTACAAACAGGTGTAGTCCCATCTACGTTTATCCACCAGATAGCCTAAGAGTGTTGAGAAGTTTATGGAAGATATGAACTACCTCCATTCATCCCAGCAGCTATCTGAACCCTGCCAAATTCCCACTGTCCTTGCTTCAATGCTTCAAAAGCAACTGAGGCAGGGGAACATGTGGCAATGTGTCTGTCCTCTCAGCTGATGACAAAAGAGTTACATGTTAAAATACAGGCTCAAATTGATGGCCTCCTCTCAAGCAGGTTACAAGCTCAGAGTGACCTGTCTATAAATAATTTAGAGGATATAATTTAATCTGTGCAATGGATTCGGTGTGTTTCGCCTGCATTTGGTGAGACCACATATCTCTTATTGCTTCAGATACCACTGAATAAGAGTCCATGAATTTTTCATCATGGAAACACAGGAAAGCACCTTTGTTCAGGAAAAAGAATTAAGCAAAAACTTTATTCCAACAATGTAGTGAGTAGTAAGCATTTAATACTTAAAATTAAACTGGTGCTAAAGGGTTTGCCACAGTCATAGGACATCCTGCTAGGAAGCATTCCCTGATTCACTTATGTCTCAAGTATAAGAGTGCCAGGAGTTAATCTGTCTGGGGACGTAATGAGCACTGATCTACAGTTCACAGGATGCTCCTCCACACCAGCTCCCTTCGTAAACACTTTTGACATGCAGTTTGTGCAAGGTGGTTTACTGCTTCTGTGTATTTGTAACCTCCCTTGTTCAAAATAGCTTCCCTTTGTAGACATTTACTACACCACATATACTATTTTATTGATCTTGCAGAAGACTTCCTTCACTCCAAGTGCTGAATGTGCTTGGACTCCTATTGAGCGGAAAAAAATAGATCAGCTGGCTATAGCGTTTGGATGGATTTGATCTCATTGTGCCAGAAATATTGTAAGTTCTCATAAAAGTCCCGGAAGTTAAGCACTTAGGCTGGAAAACAATAAGTGAAACCACAACTGTAGGGGGAGAAAAGGAAAGAACCTACAAATATGTAGGGTATGGAGTGGCAAACGATTAAATTATCCTATTAATTGTCAATACATTTAGACATGGGTGCATTTAAAAAAAATATGAACTTGCTTTGTTGGGATCTTTGTTACAAAACTCACCGGTGTGTGACCGTGGGCTCCTAAAGTGTTTTCCCAGATTTAAGTGGAAATGTATTTACGAAAAAAGTATTTCTTGTTGAATGTAGTGTTTTAATACCAGAAATCTTCTACCTTTTCTTTCCGTTATTTTGTCAAAGCTGCTCAATTTAATCCAAAGGGGAGGAATTTTTCAGTGTGTTTGTTAGAGAAGGATTTTTTTACATAGAAGTAAACCAGGTACTGTGTTATTTCACTCGTATCCTGTCTTCTGCTTAAATGGCCTGATCTCAGTCCCACTGAAATCACTGAGATTTCTGATACTGAATAAAATCCAAACAGGACCATGCCTATCATCAGTTCCATTACTCTCCAGAAGCATGTTTATGTGTGTGGCAGAGCAGGGACAGGTACATGAGCACTCTCAGTTATTACTGTCCAGTTGCAGTGAAGAGCACAGCTTTCCTAAATTGGGGTGTGCTATGACTGCTGTTGTCTTCTGCCTGATCAGCCCCTCTGTGGCAGGGTTATTGCTGATGAGGTAGACCACTGAAATTGTCCATCTTAATTTTAGATGTTATGAACGTGTCACTAAAACTGTCTGGTTTGACTTGTTATTTGGGTAGAACTGATGGAGAAATTAGTCCTTGAAGTCCCCCAAGATGTGCGGGTTTTATATTGTTCCTTCCTATCCAGTAGCCCCAGTATTCATTCTGAACTACAAAATGGACTTTCATAGATGAACTTCTTTTAAAATAAAAGGCCTAGATCTTCAACCTGAAGCAGAAGCCCATCATTCTAGGCTAAATAACTCATCTCTTCCTTGATTTGATACACGTAGGATCACCTGGGAGACCATATAAAATGGATACAGAAATCCTCAAAATCAACCACAAAAAAAAACCCAAAGGTGTTTGTAAGCAATTCTACTGATTCAACTGTAACTTAAAATTTTGAAATAAAAGCATTTTATTTGAGCAGCATTTCTCAATGATATTTTATTTCACTTTTTCCAGGAGTCACTGATGTGGTGCCTCCACACTTTTTTTCCTGTTTAATCTATTGGGTCAAAAGATGAACAGATGAAAACAGCAGAAAAATCTATCTTCTTCTGCCTCCCTTCATAGTGTGCAGTAGCTGTGGGCCTGAGTGATGAGCTTTGGCCAGATCAGGGGCTGCAATAGCTTTTTTTTGGCTCCATACAAAAATAATGATGTTGATGAGACCAAGACAAGAGGAATCTCGGGAAACATGTCCCATTTTCACCCTGCTGGCCACAGGTGGAAGAGGCAGACTTTCATTTTCTTTGTTTTCTTATGAACATCCCTATCTTGCCCAGTCTTTAACTGACAGGAGTAGAGTACTGACATTTCAACCAGGAATGCAGAAAGTTAATATAATTTTTAATTGCTTAATAATTGTGTAATTATTGGCTTGAAAACCATTGTACTTAGACTTGCTGTCTTTTCTAGGTAACGTTTCGGACAAGAATCTACCACTGTAATATTAACAGCCAAGGTGTCATCTGCCTGGACATTTTAAAAGACAACTGGAGTCCAGCATTAACCATTTCTAAAGTTCTCCTCTCCATCTGCTCCCTCCTCACAGACTGCAACCCTGGTAAGACGATTTAACTTTCACATTCGCATTCATTCACAGTTCATACTTGGCCAGCTACGAGGACGTGGTCAGTGCGCTGTTTTACTGCTACCTGCTAAAAAAAGACAAAACCATAAATTTTAAATGCCATTCAATTAAATTTAGACATAGGATAGAAAGCAAGCACAATTTCAGGACCTCAAGTGCATTTTTAGTACTTCAGAATAAAAATCTTTTAATTCAAAAAGTTTAATCAGTAGAAACTACCTTGTAGTAGGCACTAATTTGTATATTACAACCAGGATATTAGTACCAAGAAATATTAATGAGTTAATAAATATTGAAAAGGAAAGCTTTCATTTAAATATGCTGATAATATGGTCTCTGAAAAGAATATTAAAAGTACTGATAATGATAGACGTCTTACACAGACTCTACAAATAATGAAAATTAATTTAAATGAGGTTTATTCAATATCCTGGATGGCCAGTATGAGTATTCAAAGCAAGCTGTCATTCTTATTAAATAGCACAGCACTTAACCTCTTCCCTCAGCTCTTTTAGATTTGTTTTCTGCCATTGACCACTCACTACATCTGTAATTTCCACTTTCTCTTACCCTGTTTACCAATGAATGATTCTGACTGTAGCCTTGGAAAACTGTAGTATATAGAAATTATTAAAGAATCATTAAAGAAAAATTAGTTGATCTATTTACATATTGTGAGGTGGTAGATGTTGTAAAAAACAGAGGTTGTAAAACACGTTCCTGGTTTGTTTTTCATTGTACACTTCAATTTTTTTTTTTTAATTTGCCATCTAGTTTTTAAACTTCTAGATTTCCTGTTTTTAAACTTTTCTCCCCAACCAAAGGGCTAAAAACTGCTTTACAAAGGGCAGAATGTGAGATTCTTGTGTAATCAGGGGCTGAGTCAAAAGGACTGAATTATTTCAAAGTTTAAAATAAGGTGGGCAAAAATGCAATTGACTGTTTTTATTTTCATGTGGGTGTGTTACTGTATATAGCATTAAAACCTGTGGCCTTCCTTGCAGCTAAGAGCTGGAGCAGCAGAGGAGTCCGGTGTTACCGTTTCAGGCACATTTATTTCAAGTGCACTGGATGCTCTCTGCTTATGTCTCTTCTGCTAGTGTCTACCCCAAAATATGCAGAGGTGCCCATAGGTGAATTGCTGGCAGAAGTGTAAAGAAAAGCAAATGGCTGTTTGCTCATGTGTCTTAGAAACCAGGTAAAGAGCTGGAGACACTGCAGAGCTGTGTTGGGATTGAGAAACTGGCAAATAAGTATCTGCTCATTTGTGGTCACCTTTCTTTGGAGGGTTACAGTCAACTTGAAAGCTGACCACTTTCCAGTAGTGATCTGAAACCTAGAAATTTACTACTTCTGCCCTCTTGATCTTTTTCTTTCCTTTAGACTATTTTAGACAGATGCTGTCAAGCAGCAGTTTTAGCTGACCAAGTGTGTATGAGGAACACTGAAAACAGTATGCAACAAGTTATATCAAAAATGGGAGGTTATTCTTCCCTTCAGTTTCTTTCAGTTAGTAGCTGTAAGCACTGTCATGATCATAGTAATTAAAACAATTTTATGACATTTCATTTTCAAAAGTTCTCTTTAATTACAAAGTAGTTTTGGATTTTGTTACTGCTTCATGTTAAAATTTTCCTATAATTTTGGGGGGATATATGCAGCTTCTTATTTTGTATTGTGAATTCTCCTCTCATGAGGTGCTGATGGCAGGTGCTGTGAACTGCTGAGTAATTTTTGCCTTCCTTTGAGATTACCTGTTTCATGTTACTTTCTTTTTTTGTATTAAAAAGTGAACTTCGAATGTTAATGATGTACAACAGAAGGCTTGCAAAAGCTTACAAGTTCTTACTTTTCAGCGTATTGCCTAATACACTAGTTTGTTCTGGTTGCACTGCCTGTCCTATTATTATTTTGTGACATTTTATCATTAACAAATGATTGGTTCCTTGCCATCCAGATTGAACATGATGGATGAATGTATAGATAGGTAGATAGAGAGATCACTGATACATATATCACTGAGATATTGATCACCGAAATATATCACATATATATGTACATGTATAAATACAGAAACATGCATATATGTATTTTCCTCTCTTTCAGCTGGATGTAGTTTTCTAGTCCCTTGGTCCTCTCTTCATGTAGCTAGTCTGCCCCTTTCTAAAGGCAGAAACCCAACAGGGGTCTCGATTTGATAAGCAACTTTGGACTCTTTGTTCACCATTCATCAGCCAGAAGCAGATCAGGTCAAATGGAAAGGCAACACTGAATCACCCACAAACATAAACATGTGGGATGGGCAAGTTTTCCACCCCCAGCCTCTCTGAAGGGAAAAATCAAGTATCGGTTACCCCCTAGTCTTACATTTATGCAAATCTTCATTAGAACAGCAAATAGCAGTAAGAATGGCAGCTAATTAACCCTCAGTCATACACAGTGATTAAACGGAGCTGGAGCACAGCTGCAGCTTCATTGGCAAGCACTGCTATTCTTCTCCAGCAGGCTGAGCAAATGAAAAGAGGTATTTGCTCCTGCCGCTCCTGTCATTCACACAGTAATCTACAAAAGCCACGGAGAGAGTCTCTTTCCTCTCCAGTTATACATCACCACCCTTTGTTCCCTATCACTCCAGGCAGGAGCGAGTTTGTCCTTTTTAAACAACTAATACGATCTTTTACTCATAAGCTGCCTCAGACCCTTCAGTCCTGATTATTATTAATTGTCTCTATTTTGCTTGGCAGTATCCGCCAGTAAACTGTGTTAATGAAATGTCTGAATTTTGTAACAGCTGGCTGACTTTGTTCATGGGGGGAAGGGGTGCCGTAGGGTTTGTGTATGAGTGAACATGTGTGAATTATCTAGGAGTGTGAGAGAGCCAACTGGAATGGTATCAGAGAGATGGGAGAGATGATGGGATACACTAGCATTCCATCCAGGGACTCATGTTTTTCTTTAACGTGGTACTCTGGGGCACAGCACACATCTCTTTCTACAAAGCAGGGCCCCAATCCTGTAAATATTTTGGCATGTGCACGAGCAACCCTACGAAACCTGACAGATGCATTCATCTGCATGAAACCGAGTATGTGAGTAAGTGCTCATAGGCTCTGTGCTTGAGCACTGAAAATACTTCCAGTGCTAGCTGCTAGGGCTTGCCTACGTGGGTAGTAAGTTATTGCAAAGTAACTCCATGTGTGGACACTCCCCTCTTTGAAAATGTATTAAGTCAAGTCACAAAAAACTGTCTTAATTGGAGTAAAAGTCAACTGTACTTTAAGCATTCAAGCAGAGCCCAGGGGTGTAAATTCCTACACTGCCTTAATCCAAAGGAGCTTTCAAGTGTGGATGGCCTCTGAGGTTTTGTACTTTTACTGAGCTTGAAGTACAAAACCAAATTAATTATTCTTACGTTTAGAGAGCTGGTGATGCTGGTCCGGGTTAAAATGCTTACTGTTGGTCATTGCCATGCCAGCCTGGCCAAAGGTTCTTGAACCCCAGGAAAATTCTCATTTGCAAATGCTTCAGAGAAAATAAATTGAAACACTGATGAGGTTGCACTGCAACTTTTTTCTTCACGTGGCCACCTCCTTCACATGTTCAAAGCCTGAACTTGGCTGGCCTGATTATCCCCAATGTCTGAACAGTCTAACATCAAATCATATCTGCTTAACAACTCATGGCTAAGCCTTGATTAGGACATCAGAACAAAGCCTGCTACATCTCCCGCACACCAGCCTTTCCCTTTTGGTGTCATACTCCGCCTCTAGCTCCTTACCATTTTTCCTACGCACAAGTTCCACAGTCAGTGGAAATTTTATCCCTCAGTTGACGTTCCCGAACTGAATGCCTCAGCGCTGCTCTTGGCCCTCTTCCCCATGTGGCAGGCCATGCCTGGCTGCGAGCTCCTGCAATGGGGATGTGCATGGGGGCACAGACAGAAGATAAGAGGGGCAGCCTGAGATGGGGACCATTGTGCCTGGTTAGGCTGAACACTTGGCTGGCTGCTGTAACCAAAGTAACTACTGAGGGGCTCTACAGAGCCTCGCTTCCTTTTTTCTCTTTAGAAACCTCTGCTTGATTTCTAGCCTGAATTGACTAATGGGAATTTTATACCCACTTGTTTTTAAGCAACTCTTATCCTATAGCTTAAATGACCATTTTCCTGGTTTTCATTCCCGATACATTAATGAAGAACCATCCTCTTTCCTCCTGTTTTTTGTTTGCTACACACTAACCAGACCTGTGTCTGTTAGCCTTCTTCCATAAGAGGCTTTCTGTTCCCCTGCTTGTCCTCACAGCCCTCTTATGCCCCTGCGTCATGCTGCAGTCATCCTTCCTGAACGTGCCTGAATCGTGTGGAGTTCATCAGGGCATGAAGCACAGCTAGACAGACTAACCCGCTCATCATCACCATCATCCAGGTGGAAGCATTTACTGCTCCCCGTTGGATGTCCCTGTCTCACTGGCAGCCCCACCAAAGGTTATTTCTTACTTAGCCCTGTCATTTTCACTGTTTGTCTGCTTTCTAATCCAATTTAGTGAAATGATGGGAAGAGGAAAAGGAAAAGGAAAAAAAGAAAAGAAGGCCGGAAGAGCAAAACAAAGGAAAAGCATTTTTGTTTGGGTTTTTTATTGTTGTTGTTGTTGGTTTTTTTTAATTAAAAGAAGGGCATTAACCTCTGGCAAAGGCAGTGCACAAACAAATGCCATCAGTACCCACCTCACCGGGGTCAATGTTAGCCAGGTTAGTTGGTCTGACTCTGATCTCAGATACTTCAGTGGCACTTTATATTAGCAGTGTAAAGCTGCTTGGCTCTTGTTATCCTTTAAATACACTAGAAATTACGAGACAGTTTGTTCAGTGTTACATGTAAAGTTCACTGTGAACATATTTTGAGGTTGAAACGTACGTGTCCTCATGGTAAATGCACTTATAAGAGTAAATGAGTTGGACAGATACTGCTACATTA